CGGCGTCCCGGCGGCCCTGTGCTGGGCCCGCCTGCGGCCCTGTGCACCCCTCCCAGGTATCAGAACCTGCCCCCCCAACCCCGTCCAACCAGACCCTCACGGGGCCGACCTTGTCCACGTCCTGGCTGAGGGCTCGGTGGGGAGGGGGGTGGGAGCTGGGCTCATCAGGAGATGAGCTGCTTGGAGGGGTGCAACTCATTGCGCTTTATTTTTGTGTGTTTTCTTAAATTTGTTTGTTTTGGGTTAATCCTCCCCTGAGGGTATCTCCCCATTGATTTTTAGGGAGAGTGGAGGGGAGAGGGAGAGACAGAGGGGAACATCGATGTGAGAGAGACACATCGATGGGTTGCCTCCTACACATGACCCGACCAGGGCCTGGGCCGGGGAGGAGCCTGCCACCGAGGTCCGTGCCCTTGACCGGAATCAAACCCGGGACCCTTTGGTCCGCAGGCCAAGGCTCTATCCACTGAGCCACACCGGCCAGGACTCAGTGTTCTTTTTTAAAATTTTTTATTTTTATTGGATTCTGAAAGGAAGGGAGAGGGGGAGAGAGAGAGATAGAAACATCAATGAGGAGAGAGGCCTTAGCTGGTTTGGCTCAGTGGATAGAGCGTCAGCCTGCGGACTGAAGGGTCCCGGGTTAGATTCCGGTCAAGGGCATGGACCTTGGCTGCGGGCACATCCCCAGTAGGCGGTGTGCAGGAGGCAGCTGATCGATGTTTCTCTCTCATTAATGTTTCTAACTCTCTATCTCTCTCCCTTCCTCTCTGTAAAAAAGTCAATAAGATATATTTTAAAAACATAAAACTAGGCACCCTTTTATGTTGGTTTAATATATTTCTTTATTGATCTCAGAGAGGAAGGGAGAGGGAGAGAGAGAGAGAAACATCGATGATGGGAGAGAATCACGGACCGGCTGCCTCCTGCGCGCCCCCCCCGCCCACCGGGGATGGAGCCCGCCACCCGGGCCTGTGCCCTGACCGGGAATCGAACCCTGACCTCCTGGTTCCTCGGTCGGCGCTCAGCCCCTGAGCCCCACCAGCTGGGCGAATCCAGTGCTTTTTAACCCGGTCTCCCGTGAGTGGCGTGCGAATTGCATGTGGTTTTTCTTGTTTGTTTTGTTCGCAGGAACCTGCACAGACACCCCTGACGCCTGCACGTGTGTGACACCCCTGAGTCTGAGCTCGCTGGGCCTCTGCAGAGGGAGGCGCTGCCGGCCGCGCCCCGTGATAACCCTGGGCAGGCGTGGGATGCTGCTGGGGCGATGGCACGGGAACGTCCAAGCCGATACCTCGCCCGAGTCGCTGGTTCCAAAACGCGCCTTTCTCTAAAAAGCCACAGACCTCTAAACCCCGCCATCCAAGCAGCCGGTGCACAGTCACCCCTGCTACCATTTTTATAAATATATTTGTATTGATTTCAGACGGGGAGGGAGAGGGAGAGAGAAACATCCATGATGAGAGAGGATCATGGATCAGCTGCCTCCTGCACGCCCCACACTGGGGATGGAGCCCACAACCCGGGCCTGTGCCCTGACCGGGAATCGAACCCTGACCTCCTGGTTCATAGGTCGATGCTCAACCACTGAGCCACGCCAGCTGGGCTAAAATATGTATTTCTTAAAAAAAAAAAAAGCAAAAAAAAAACCCCCACAAAGCTCTAGATTCTGCCATGAAACCCAGGCCCTTGCTCCGTTACCGCTGCTAACGTTTTGTCCTGTCCTTTTTTCACGGCCATTGTCCTTCCAGCTCAGGCGGGTTCGATAGATAGCCCAGCACTAACCCAAACACCCCCACAGCCGTGCCATGCCCGGGGGACCGTGTCCTTCCCACCCCTGCAATCGCTGAGGCCACCCATGGAACGTCCCCTGCACCTGCTCCCGGGGATGTGCCCCGACCGGGAATCGAACACGGGACCGACCTCTGGGTCCACGGGGCGAGGCTGGTGTAGCGTCCGGCATGCTGAAGCCTCGGGGAGACACGGGGACTGAGGGCTCCCCCTTCTGTCGAGGGTCGGGCCGTCGGCAGGTGCAGAAGGCATTTGCCGGTTATGAACTCTGGTCAGTCATTGTGACCATGTTGGCGCTGACGTCTTTCTGACGGATCCTGTGACGTGGCGTCTGTGAGAAAGACACGGTCGCGCCGGCCAGGCCTGGGGCGCGAGCCGGTCCAAGGACCGTCACGGGGTGAGGGTGGGGGCCCGCGTCTCAGGCACCAGAACCCGTGGGCGACCACGAAAATGCCGCTGCCATTTTCACAAGAGGACGGAGATCTGTCTGTGCCCGCACGCGGCATCTTGGGAATCAAAGGAGGAGGGAAGTCAACCGTTTCTGCCGACTTTGAAGCCCGGTCAACGCGTTGAGGACTGGGAATGTGATTTTTTTGTGTTTTCTGAGCACTAAGTTCTTGCACACACTCTGGCAAAGCAAAGCTTTAGGGGATGGAATGTATGCACAACGTGCTATTCCCGACGGTTTTTATTGGGGGGGAAATGATAAGAAAGTCATCTAACTAGGATCGTTGGGGGCGGAAACATCGTTGATAGGCAATGATGGCTTTTCGTGGGAACTGATGTTTCCGTGGGTCCCTCGGGAATGAGGGTCCAGCTGGAGGTGACAGTTAGGGTGGGGGTTTGCGTGAGGGGGCGCCGGACACAGTGAGGGTTGGCTTTTGCTCCAGGATTGGGTTGGGCGAGGAGGGGAGCTGAGTTAGGCTAGCGTTGGCTGTGGGACTTCGGATGACGGCCTGGTGAGGCGCGAGGTGGGTTGAGTTTAGATCGGGGGGTCCTCAAACTTTTTAAACAGGGGTCCAGTTCACTGTCCCTCAGACCGTGGGAGGGCCGGACTATAGTTTTAAAAAAACACCACTATGAACGAATTCCTATGCACACTGCACAGATCTTATTTTGAAGTAAAAAAACAAAACGGGAACAAATACAATATTTGTATTTGCATGTGGCCCGTGGGCCGTAGTGTGAGGACCCCTCGTTTAGATTGAGGTAAAGGCTGGGGTTAGTGATAATGTCTGAGTGGACGTTGAATTGCTACTGAAGTGATGTGGGACCGGCATTCATTTGTAAACTCTAAAGCTGATTTTTTTTTTAAATCCTCAATCGAGGATACATTTATTGATTTTTAGAGAGAGGAAGAGAGAGAGAGAGGGAGAAACACCGATGTGAGAGAGAAACTAAGAGAGAGAGAAACATCGATGTGAGAGAGAAACCACATGGGTTGCCTCTCGCATGCTCCCCGACTGGGGACCGAACTCGCAACCTAGGCATGGGCCCCGACCGGGAATCGAACCTGCGACCTTTCTGTGTACCCAACAACGCTCCAACCAACGGAGCCGCCGGGTTGGGCGAAAGCTACATTTTTCAAAAATATATATTTGTTTGCCGAAACCGGTTTGGCTCAGTGGATAGAGCGTCGGCCTGCGGACTGAAAGGTCCCAGGTTCGATTCCGGTCAAGGGCATGGACCTGGGTTGCGGGCACATC